GAGGGAAAGGGAAAGGGGAAGCTTTTGTTTGGGGGGGTGGAAATTGAGTTTATACTAATGGTGGTGGAATATTTTGGAAAAGACTAGCAGTAGTGGTGGCACAACATGAAAAATGTCATCAATGTCCCTGAGCTGTAAATGTGGAAGTTGTTATGTTGGCAAATGTGTTGTGTATGTTTTCACCACAAGAAAAGTGGGGGGAAAAAAAGATCTCTAAGTCACATTGTCAATCAAGTTGCAGAACAGTACATGGAGAATGATCTCATTGATCTTGTTAAAAACCTATATTTTATATGTATACTTATAAACATTGGAAGGAATGTTGGGCAATCTACTTCCGTAGTGATACTGCCTCGAAACCCAATGAGGAGTCACTATGAGTCGGATTCGACTCAACAGCCATGAGAATTTAATATTTACAGACAGAGAAAGGTCTGCCAGGATACCCACCAAACTGTTGGCAAACTGTTTCTTCTCTAGGAAACAGCAACTTTGGGGCAGGGAGGGGAAAGGGGCTTTTATCTTTTATGTGAAGTTCTTGTTTGAATCTTTGTTTAATAAGAACATATACACATTTTTTTAATTAAAAAAAAAATGTCTAACAAATCCCAGAACAGTTTTTCCCAAAATGCTAAAATATTATTGTTTTCATTTTAGGTAATTATATGTGTGTCATAACAACAACAACAGTCCTTTCAGAATGCAGCAATATATTTAGGTGAATTTTAGTAAATAGAATATGAGAGTGATGAAAGAAGAAAAAACTGTATGCTTATATTCAGATGATCTAAAGCTGCTATTTTGCAAAACAAAATGGCCAGCAGTCTGGGTTTTATATAGGAAAAAGACAAAGACTTCTCAGCTTTCATATATATTACATCTTTTGTAGATAAATCCTACCCATTCCTGGGAAAGCCTCTAGCCATGTGAAGGATAAGAATTTTATAGACAAGACTCCAAAGAATCCAGGTACATAATGTGCACCAGAAAGCCAGTTACAAGTTCCTTGGGATCCTAGATAAGCTACCAGAATCTTAAACTAGCAATCCATGAAATTCTGTAAGGTGTTCTGTCTTTCATGGTGTGCCCACAGAGACATTTGTCCTTATCCTTCTTCTATGTTACTCTAACTTTCAGTATTTGGGGAACACAGCATTGCTAACAACAGCAATAATCTCTAAGGTACAGAATAATAGCTACCTTTCTGGTACCAGAAAGGTTTGTGTGCTCTTCTTTAAAATACAGTGTAGTATCTACTTTCTTGAGTTGTCAAAAAGATTAGCAATAATGTATACAAAGCACCTCTTTCAGTGATTTTTCTAGAAATCATTATCAAGAGTCTGACACAGGTATGGGAAGCTTTTATTATAGTTTAGTGTAGTATTCATGGATTCTGTCAAGCAGTCTCTAGAATATGCTTTCCAAGGAGAATAAGTCTCTTTTATAGAATATATACATACATGCTGTGTGCCTGGAAAAGACCCTCTGCTTTTCTCTCTTCCTCTTCCCTGTCTTTACTTTTAGTAGCCCCTTCTTTAGGCTTCTTTATGCACATACTCCATACAAATTATTAATTGACTTGTGTTTTGTCCTCTTTGTAAACTGTTAGCATTTGCTAGAACTTCTCTGTTTCTTGATGGAATTCTCCATTTTTTTCCCCGATGACTCTTTTTATTAATTGGCTCATATTTGGGGTAGATCAGTTTGCTGGTGATAGGAAAATATTGAAAAACACAGCAAATATGAAACAAGCTAAATAAGCAGCAATCGCTACCCAAAACCTTGGATCTTTCAGCAATGCTTTATCAAAGCAGCTAAACACTGTGTAACCTATGGACATCCCAGCAAATCCACCTGCAATATGAGCTGCAAATGACACCTTTGGAGAAAAAGAAAAAAACAGAAATAAATGAAGAAAATACTAGCTACATATTTCAGGTGCATCTCACTTACTTAAATACAAATTCCATTAGAGTCAAATAGCAGTTTTAAAAGTCTGGAGAACTAGCAGGTCAGGCAAAAGAGATGGAAAAGTCCATGCCGCAGAGAGGAGGTGTTCTAAAGGTTTGCAAAGACAGAAAACTGTCACTTTCACTCACTCTCTGAGTACACAAAACAGAACCATTATTTCTCATTCTTCTTGATCATAATTGCATTTAGGATAGTTCTATATAATGCCAACCAAGAGAATGGAGTTGTGTTGCCAAGAGAGATCTCAAAACAATCTGGTCCCACAGAAATGGGATATCAGAATTAAAACATAAGTCATATCTACTACAAATACTCAACAGAAGCTACCAAATTAAAAAATGAATTCCAGCAAAACTAGAAATCTGGGTCAGTTTTCTTTATATTGTAAATCCATCTGGACCCAGATTATCATTGTTGTTTTCCAATCTGCTTATTATTTACTGTAGTCAGTGAAATCCTATTCCTCCCGTTTTATAATAGTTACCACTATGGGAGGCACTGAGAAGTAGAGATCAGTGTCAGGGCTGTGAGAGAGTTAAGTGAGGAGAACAATCCAAAAGTCTGATTTTCCTAGTAATTTTATTAATGCCAAATGGAAGTTTCCTCAGGGTAAATTTTTTTTACAGAGTTTAAATAAACAAAAACAAAAACGTTGCTGTCAAGTAGATTTCAATTCATGGTGACCCCGCGTGTGTCAGAGTGGAACTGTGCTCCGGGGGGTTTTCACGGGCTGATTTTTCAGAAGTCAGCTGCCAGGACTTTCTTCCAAGACACCATTGGGTGGACTCAAACCACGAACCTTTGAGTTAGCAGCCAAACACATTAACTATTTACACCACTCAGGGACTCCAAATCACAGGGAATTTGTCCCTAGTTGATAACACTTTTATCTACTGATAAGTAAGCAAATTTTCATTAAAAATAAATAAATAAACTGAACTCACCGGTGACTCAGTTGCAGGGACAAAGAACCTTCTATAGAGAGCAAATCCCACATCTGATGCAACTATAATGAGAAACAACCTGATGAAGCCCCAGGATTCCTACAACAGTGAGCCAAATGTTTTTGCTTCCTCTCTGTGCTAGGTGCTGTTCCAAGAGTTTGACATGTATTAACGCATGAATCCTCATAACAACTGCATAAAATCAGTACTTTCATTATCCCATTTTATAGATTTCTTCATCCAACAAGTATTTATTGATTGTCTTCTATGTGCTAGGCACTATTCTAGGTGATGGAGATAAAACCGTGAATAGATCAGACAAAGAAGCTTGCCTCATGGAGCAAGCTGATGGTCTAGTGGGGGAAGGCAAACAAATAAGTAAACTATACAGTATGTTAAATGGGACTATGTGCTGTGGAGAAGATGTAAAACTCGGAAAGAGAAGTGCCAATGCCAGAAGTAGGATGTCATTTCTAGTAGGACAGTCAGGGAGGATCTCATTGAGAGTATAGCATTTGCTGTGGAGAAGGAAGGAAAACTAAAAGCAAACCAAACTAGTTGCCATGAGGCTGATTATGACTCAGGGCAACCCTGTGTGTGTGTGAAAACTCCACAGGCTTTACAGAGTTGACTTTTAGGAAGTAGGTGGCCAGGGCTTTCTTCCAAGATGCCTCTGGGTAGACTCAAACCTCCAAAGCTTTAGCTGGCACCTCCTCCACTTGCACCATCCGGGGAATCCTACAAGGGAGCAAGCAAGGCTGATATTTGAGGCACAGGCTTCCAGGCAGAAGCAAGAGCAAGCGCAGGGTCCCTAAGACAGGAATGTGCCTGGGGTATTTGAGGAATACCAAAGCAGTTTATCGGGAGCTCTGGTCATGTAGTGCGTAGTGCCTAAGGCACTTGACTGCTAATCAGAAGGCTGGCGGTTCAAACCCACCAGCCACTCCTCGGAAGGAAGGATGGGCAATCTACTTCCGCAGTGATACTGCCTCGGAAACCCAAGGAGGGGTTGCTATGAGTTGGGTCCGACTCAACGGCACATAACAACAACAACAACAACAAAGCAGTTTATCTGGCTACATCAGTGGTTTTCTGAATGTGGTCACCTGAAGACTAGCAGAATCAGCATCATCTGGAAACTTGTTAGAAATGAAAATCCTCAAACCCAACTCCAGACCTATTGAACCAGAGACTCTGGGGTGGGAGTCAGCTTGTTTTAACAGTCCCTCCAGTTAATTCTGGACTAGAGTAAGGGGTAAAATGGTAGGTGAGAAGATCAGACAGGTAGCCAGGGACAGGTCATGTGGGGACCTTATGCCATTATAAGCATTTTGGCTTTTTATTCTGCACGGAAGCCTTTGAAGGATTTTGAGCACAGCAGTAACATGATCTGACTTATGTTTTCAAAAAGATCATTCTGGATGCCATATAAGAAATAGTCTCAAAGGGAACAAGGATAGGCACAGGGAGACCAGCTAGGATATTAATACTATTATAGCAATCCAAGTGAGGAATGATGGTGGTATCTATAACATAAACCAACACCTAGAGATAAGTACTTGCCCTAGGCTACACAGCAGAGGCGAGGCCAGCATTTGAACTTTAAGACGTCTGGTTGCAGAGGTTCCACTCTCATCACCCCCACTAACTAGTTAGTGCTGGGAGCACTGGAGATAGGTCACAGAGGGAAATGAGTCACATTCTCCAGTGGGATGGTGAGAACCACAATTTAGGCATTCTTCAAATAAGTCAGATCTGTGCTGCAAAAAGAGGTCCCCAGTTTCTTGGCCTAGAATTCTGTCCTACCTGTGCAGGCTCCTTGGAAACCTCTGCAGCCATTACTTTCCACACCTGTGCCCCTATTCCCTCTGCTCTACTTAGTGTGCCACGGCATGCTGGGAGAGGTAAAGACTTAGTCCTTGCCCTTGGGAAAACATCAGGACCATGTGCTCTGGCTACTTTACTTTTCAATATTGTATTGATGTTGAAGTCACTGGACTGAAATTGAGGTCAAAGAAGCACTCAATATTAATTTAATTGTAAATGACTTATTACACAAAGGGCTCAATAAATGTGGCTGTACTATATTTTAAACCATCATTTGCATTTCCTAGTCCAGTGGACATAACACACAAATGAAGGACTATGAAGGTAGAAGGAAACCACTGCCAAACAGCAGGGCCACCTTACTGGAGCAATAACTTTGGTCCAGTCTAGCTGTCCCACAGTAGGAAGCCCCTTCTCAAAAACATCTTTGTAACCATTCACATGTCAATTTCTCCACCCCATTTCTCTCATTTCTCCCTCCTGCTATCTGCTCTGGTGGTGTAGTGCCTAAGGCATTTGACTGCTAACCAGAAGCTTAGTGGTTCAAACCCACCAGCCACTCCTCGGAAGGAAGACTGGGCAACCTACTTCCATAGAGATGCCATTTCAGAAACCCTGGGGATCACTGTGAGTCGAATAAGCTCAACAGCAGTGAGTTTGTTTTTTTATTTTGTTTTTTGGTTACTATCTCTGCCTGATTCTTTCTGCTTCCTAGGAGAGTTTGCTTCTGAGTTACTGCAGCCTCTGAACTGAGACACAACTTCTCATCTCAAAACCCATTGCAATGGAGTTGATTCCAACTCATAGCGACTGTACAGGACACAGTAGAACTGTCCCATAGGATTTCCAAGGCTGTAATCTTTATAGACGCTGACTGCCTCATCTCCTTCATGCAGAGAAGCTGCCTTTCAGTTAGCAGCCAAGCACTTTAACCATTGTACCCCCAGGGCTCCTTTCCATCCCAGAAAAAGCCCTTATTATTGCAATGAACCAAATCATTTTCCTCATTAAAAATTTGAGGCCCCTATTATTTGGTTGAGCTTAAAGGTAACAAGCTTCAAAATATATCAAAATAGCATAGTTGAAGTTTTAACAGTATTACTTTCCTGTTACAGAAGTAATACATATTCATTGGATAATAAAAGGAGGGACATAAAAGGTATAAAGAAATGAATTTTTAAATTGTCCATTTTCCTATCCCAGAGAAACCTTCTGACATAGTTCATTTCATCAATCTTTTCCTATGTGTTTTTAAACATAACTCAAATTTTAGTATATATAAAAATTTCAATATAGCATTATATTTAAGGCATTTTTCAGTAAAAATCCTCTTTGTAAACATTAAAAAAAAAAAAAAAACAGGCCCTTCTTTTACGAGAATTATCTTTATACAGATTTTTTTTTTTTTTTAAGAATGAAATGAGATTTCTTTCCTTTTTCCAAAGGGAAGCTCAGTTCCTTGATTAGAAAATAGTATCCAACAAACAATGTTTTGATCAAAGAAGGACCTTATGGCCAATTGTCCTTCAGAATTTAAGATTAATATTTACCATTTGGGGAAAGAAAAAACAAAACCATATATATTTTTCCAAGGAAAAGTGTTTAAAATCAACATGTATTTATTTTCTTAATTTTATTTTTATTAATCTGGTGTGTATTGTAACTCTTCTCATTTTTAATAGTAGGAAAACAGGCCAAAGAACTTTTAGCAATGACCTGGGCCTTGAAGTGGGAAAGGTTCACGTATATATATATATATATATATGCTGCCAACTCTTTGAGATGTATGTAGAACGTAATAAAAACATACCAGTCAGTGATTTTATTACTTACCTCAAGAATGACATAATATTACATAAATGATTTTGGAGATACCTTTTAATGAGGAAAGGATTTTGTTTTTGTTTTTCACTCCACTATTGAGAATAAAGAAGAGCAGGTAAAACATTTCCCCTTTAAGGGTTTGAAACTTATTTTCATCCTTACTTAAATGAAGCAGACTGGCTGGAGACCCAGGTAATGTATGTAACAGCATTTTTTTAGTCAAAGGGCTTGTCCCTTGGTTCTAATTGTGACTCTTGGCAACTCAAGTGGCAGCTATGACCACACAGTACCTCTTATATCTCCCGGATGCTTTCTCTCCCTTTTCTGCTGACAATTTTCCCTTACTTTTCTGATTTCTAGTGAAGAAAAAAAACTGTCTACAGTATGGTATAGACTATAAGCAAGTGAATTCTTTTATCTCAGGTGAAATATTGGTGTTTTTTTAGTTAAATTGTTCATAAACTAAATTAGTCTCTTTCCTCAGAGGCAGTAGTTATTCCTGTTCTTGTAATGTGGATAATTGAACTCTTGATACCAATTAGCAGAATCTTTTTTTCTTACTGTGTGGACAGGAAAAATCTTAGGCTTCATCAAATGTCACCTCTGCCTTAGCTTTCAAGTAGTCTGATCCCAGGACCTGTCTTTATCCCCACGGCCCTCTGTGTGGACCAGCTTCAGGTGGAGCAGGTAGGTGAACACATTTCACTACCCCTCCTTTGCACTTGTTTTCTTCTGCTTTGGACTCAGCTAAAATTCCATCTCCTCTCCAGCCTGAGCACTCTCCCTAAACTTGTTTAGCATATAATTCTATGCTATAATTCTTGGAGATTTCAAAAGCCACATTAGTCATCCTCCTAATTCTCTGGCTTCTGAGTTTCTTGACCTCCTCTATCTTGTCTTCGGTCCTCAGCCAACCCCATGTGTTATAGAATATCTTATCATTATGAGTAATTGTACTGCCTTCCAAAATCTCAAATTTCAAGGTCCAAAATTTATCCACTGGTTCTCTCCCTGCAGTACACCATTATTTATCTTGATCCTACTGCAACCCGTGGTCCATTGATACCCCTACCTTTTAACCATCCCTCACCTTCCTCATATTCTCACTTCTCTCTGTAACCATGTTCCATCATGCTGTTTTCTCCCTCGCATGTACTCACAGCTCCCTTACTCTTCTCTCCATAAAGAAAAAACAAACCAGTTGCCATCAAGCTAGTTGATTCATGGCGACCCCCTGTGTGTCAGAGTAGAATTGTGCTCCATGGGGTTTTCAACAGCTGATTTTTTAGAAGTAGATCATCGGGCCTTTCTTCCGAGGTGCCTCTGGGTGGACTCGAACCTCCAGCTTTTCAGTTAGCAGCCTAAGAGTCTCTCTAAGGCTGCAAATGTTTATGGAAGCAGACTGCCACATCTTTCTTCTGCAGAGGAGCTGGTGGTTAAACCTGAACCCTAGTTAATCACACTCTGCACCTATTTCACTCCTATACCCACGCACTTAGTTGAATATGGCTGGAGAAAAACACACAACTATGCTTACTCTCCTCACTTGAAATCTGTTATCACCAGCTTCAATCCTACTACATTTCCATCATCTGTTTTCCAAGATTGCTACTTCATACAGTTTCCTCTCTCCTTAAATCTCCCCCATCTTACTTGTTACCAATTTCACTAAGAAAATAGAAGTAATGAAAAGAGGAATTCCCTAAGTCTTATCATCATGTGTTCTACCTCCTGCATCCATACCATACAATCTGCCTTCCCTCTGGATAGTATAAATGATTTGAATGAGCTGTTTTGCTCCTATTTAAGGCTAACGTCTTCTCTTGTGTGTAGGATCCATTTCTCTCTCCTCCATTCAAGGACAGAGCTCCAGAAATTGTCTCCAGTATCATTAAGTTTTCTTTTCCCCTCTGTGTTGGGTCACTACCATTAGTATACAAGCAAGCTATTTTTCTCCAGTCTGGAGGGGGAAAAAAAAACCTCTTTCAACCCCCATATCCTCCACTGGCATCTCTGTTCCCCTTTAGAGCAAAACTCTTTTAAAGACTTGTGTTTGCCTGTTCTCTCCAATTCTACCCCTCTAATCTGTCCAGAATGTGCTTTACCAAAACTGTCCTTGTCATAGTCTGTAAAGATTAGTTTTGAGTCCTTATCTTCTTGGACTGTCATCAGCATTTGACATAGTTGATCAGTCTTTCCCTAAAAATCTTTCTTGACTTGGTGCCTAGGACACCACTCTACTGGTTTTTCTGCTATATAGCTGGCTGTTCCTTCTCAGTATGTTTTGTAGGTACTTCCCCAAACTCTAAGTATTGGAGTGCCTAGGACTCAGTCCTCAGTCCTTTTTTCTTTTCTACTGTCATTGTCCAGGAGCTCTCATTCAGTCTTATGACTTTAGATACTATCTGTAAGCTGACTACTCCTAATGTATATCCCTTATCCAGACCTCTCCCCTGAACTCACTGTCCAACATGAGACAATACCCTACTCTGTATCTCCATACTAATCTCTAAGCATCTCAGACTCAACCTATTCAAACTTCTGGTTTCCTCCCAAAAACGTAGTTCCTTTCCATCTAAAAAAAAAAAAAAAAAAAAGTCTCTCTGTGTTTCTAGTTGCTTGGGCCAAAATTCTTAGTCATTCTTAACTAACTCTTGTCTTTCTTTCCCACACCATGTCTCATGTCATTTCTCACCACTGCTGCAGCTAACATCCTGTGCCAATCAACTGTATCTTGCCTGGATTTTTGCAATATCCTCCTGCTAGTCTCCCTGCTTCCACTCTTGTTTACCACCACCACCACACACATAAGCGCATGCACACACACACACACACACACACAGGGGTTGAGTATCATGTCACTCAATTTAATTTTCTGATTTCTTTTTTGTGGAAGTCTTACAACTTTTCATTAGCTGGATGAGGAAACATTTGGAGAAGGTCCCAAAACAAAGGCCCTGGACATGGAACTTTCCGTCTTTCTTATCAAATGGATTGCTGTGACATGCACTTCTCCTGTTCTGCTGCCTGTGATACATGTTTTAGACTGAATTTTAGAGAAGTAGGATTTCTTGTGAAAAAGGATAGAATGGCTCACAGTAGGCTCTTCCTGAGCCAATGGCATGACTGTTAGTCCTCGACCTCGTATTCCTCCACCACTTAAAACCACCTCATGCCCAGGAGTCTACCTGCAGCCCACCTCTATCTGAGCCTAAAGATGGTGCTACTTCTCATGTTTTCAGGTGACAGTAAAAGATGATGACACTGTAATTTCATGACTCCCAGGGAAAGCCACCACCATCTTTTTGACATCCTGGATCAGTGCTGGGCCGTCAGCAGGTGGGTCTTCCATAGACTCTCTTTGATTTTGCAGGTTCTTGGGAAACTATGGTTAACATATAGACTAGTCATTAAATTTCAATTTAGCCTGTAGTCCCAACCTCCAACCTCCTTTTCTACCCAACTATACTAAAATAAATGTTTTTAATTAAAATATGAGGAAGAGATGGAGGAGCTAATAAAATACAAATAAAAGATGTGAGATTTACATTTAGACTTGTTTTTCTTACAAAAGTTTCTCTATAAAGATTTTTAAATATACACATGGGAATAACTTGTCTTTTCTTTCTTTCCTTTTTATTTTTTTTTTTCTTTGTTACTTAAACTGGGGTAATAGCAATAAATTGAGAATCAGAATGCCTGGCTTCTAGTCTTAGTTCAACAGAAATAGCTGACATGTTTTGTCTATCAGTGTTTTTTTTCTTTAATCTTAGAATTGAGAAATCAAGGAAGAAGATAGAGTAAATCAGTGTTTTTCAAGCTTTTTCCAAATACTGGAACCCCTATAAATTCTTGTGCATAAAATGAAGCTACTGGTGGCATAGTGCCTAAGGCATTTGACTGCTAACCAGAAGGCTGGTGCTTCAGATCCACCAGCCACTCCTTGGAAGGAAGGTTGGGCAATCTACTTCTGTAGTGATACCGCCTCAGAAACCCAAGGAGGAGTCACTATGAGTTGGATCCGACTGTTTGGCAGTGGGTATGTTTTGTCTTTTTTCTGTGGTTGAAGTAGAGAGGGTGACTAGAGCTGTACTCTCGTGGATCCCTCCAGTCCAGAAAGAAAAAGCAAAAACGTGTCACTTAAGTACCCCCAAGAACAACAAGACAGTCTGTGAAAGCTCTTCCGATTACACCTGTTTTGTAGCTCTTTCTGACTCCATGCTAGCAATCATCCTACAGGTTAGTGTTTTGGAAATGTGAAAAGGCCCTGAAGGTTGAACCAACAAAAGTGAAAGTGTGAAGTGTCCACAAAATACACTTACTTATAAGGATGATGATCAGTAGTCTGGCAATTCCAAAGGCAGGAATCATTTCTTGAAAATTCTTGCAAAGAGATAAATAGTAATAATAAGATAAGCTATCTATTGGCAAATGAAACATCAACTCCACTTCCTCTTCATCTGCTTTTTCATTTACATTTTGAAGTGTTAAACATTTTCAAAGCAAAGCACTGGTGTAACAGCCCAGTTCTCAGATATATTTGGGAAGTTTAATGCTGGTGCACTTCAGAGAACAAATGAAACATGTATTTGACTTCATTATATACTAGATACAATTTTACTAGTCTTATACAGTCCAGATATAGGTAATATAAAGTCAACACTTCACGTGTCCATTAAAAAAAAAAAGCTGTCAAGCCTGATAAAATTTTTCCGAGTGTTTTTGGTTAGTATTCATTGGATTTTCATCCTCTTTTCCAATAATGATTAGCTAAAACTTAACTGAAATTTGAGTATTACCTTAATTCTTTTTCAAAAAATTTTTGAACGTTAGTCAAAACACATGGTTTGATTTTAGCTTTGAAGAATCTCAGTCCAGCTTGCAGTGTAGCCCCATGTGTCACTAGAGAACTGTCACATCAGAAAGACATTTCTACTTCAGTTTACTAAGTAACTTCTCTCTTCCCTTTCAAGTTATTAGCTCTCTTTCTAAGGAACAAAGATGCTGAAATCAATTATTTTCAAACTTTTTACCATGACCCGTTGTTGTTGTTGTTACATGCCGTCAGGTCAGCCCCGACTCATAGCGTCCCCTCCTTGGGTTTCCGAGGCAGTATCACTACAGAAGTAGGATTGCCCAACCTTCCTTCCGAGGAGTGGCTGGTGGGTTTGAACTGCCAGCCTTCTGGTTAGCAGTCAAGTGCCTTAGGCACTATGCTACCAGATCTCCTACCATGACCCATAGTAAGAAATAATTTACGTAACAACCTACTACACACACAAATCAAACAGTACTTACCCTTATTGTACATGATGCACACTAATTTTTTTTTTTTTTTTAATTTTGGTCACAACCCCCTAAACTGAGTTCACAAGCACTGACAGGTTATACATGGTGTCTCCATGGGTCAGGGACTGACTAGAAGGCAGCTAACAATAGGCTGTAGGCCACAGTTTGAAAGGCACTTTTCTAAGTGACTTCTATATTTGGAACAGTTTCCATAATTGCTTCATATTTTTCCTCCAATAGTATTTTTAAAGTATGTCTAACTGCTGGCTGAAAGGTTCAAACTAGTCAGGAACTTAACCTGTTTAAAAAAGTGATTGGCACTCTTACATGATATCAGTGCAAGTTTAAAATTTTGGAGGGCAATTTGACAAATATCTATTAAAATTTAAAGTCTTTATCTGATAATTCCATTTCTAGGAATTTGTCCTGCCGGGGGAAAAAAAAAAAATCACACAAATGCAAAAAAGATAAACATTCCTTATAACATTGCTTGTAAATGTGAAAAGCTGGAATTGCCGCAAATGTCTTTCAGTGAAAGATTGGTTAAATAAATTATGATGCAGCTATACAGACAAGATGCTATAGAGCAGTTGAAAAGACAGATGCATCTCTGTGTACTGATACAGTGAGATGATTAGGATACTCTATGAAAGATGCCAAAAAGGATTTATAAGGCTGATCCCATTTTTATAGTATTAATATTGGTAGAATTTTCAATGCATATTGAAAAATATTCATACTATTAACAGATAGTATCTTGGGTACTTTGACTTTCTATTACTTAATGCAAAATTTCATTAAAACTCATTACTTTTCAGATCAGAGAAAGTAAAGATGAAATAGGCAAAGAAAACTGAATGTTGGGTAGACATATATATAATTCTCAGAAAAAAGGAGTCATGCTTTTTGAATAAATGAGTAATACTGATAATGAAGATTCCGTAAACCAAATACAGTCAATCCTCATTATTTGCAATTCTGTATTTGTTGTAATTTGTTTATAATCCCAAAATCAGTACTTGACATGCTTTCATGGTAATTCATGAACCTGCACAAAAAGCTGAAAAATTTGAGTTGTCCAACACGCGTGCATTACCAGCTATGGTTGAAAAAGGTGACACTGCCTTCTTGTTTCAGCTCATACTATAAACAAGTACCTTTTCCAGTCTATTTAGTGCCGCATTTATCATGTTTGTGCTTTTTCTTGGTGATTTCACTGTTTAAAATGTTCCCAAGCATAGTGCTGAAGTACTGCCTACTGTTCCTAGGTGCAAGAAAGCTCTGTGTTAGATACACTTCATTCAGGCATGAGTTACAAGGCTGATGGTCATGAGATTAATATAACAAATCAACAATATATGTTCAATAAAGTATCTTTAAACAGAAACACATATAATACAAGGTTATATATTGACTAGTTGATTAAAATGTGACCAGAGGCTCATAGGACCCTCTGTATTTCCTGACCCTGTATTTCTTCCAAGAGCAATAGTTCAGAACTCGCTAATTCAGTGTCCATGGTGACTTTATAAAACATAAACCATTTGCTGTCAAGTTGATTCTGACTCATGATAACCCCATGTATTAGATAATAGAACTGCTTCATAGGGTTTTCTTTGCTATAATCTTTACAGAAGCAGATCACTAACTGTGGTGTGATGGATTGCTTTTATATTATGGACTTTGTAGCCATGGTCTTGTAATACCCACCACATGATTGGGTGAGACCATGCAAATAAGGTGCTCTTGGCCCACTAAGGGGATTGGGAAGTTTGCTAATAAGGCAAATAAGGTTCATGGAACCCTGCAAGGGAGGAGGGGTGGAACCATACACACAGGTATATGGAACCCTAACAAGGGGGTTGGTCGGTTTTCCCATCCTGCTAGGGTAACAATAAGCCATCCCACAAGCAGAAAAGGGGAACTTCACTACCACCAAGAAAAAAGAGCTAGGAGTGGATGTTACCCTTTAGACCTGGGATCACTGAGCTGAGAACCTCCTAGACCCAGGAGGCAGGGAGAGAGAGCTATAACACTGGAGAGGGTAAGAGACAGGTAAGAGTAGTGGCGGCAGAGAAACAGCAGCAGAGGCAGCACAACCAAGAGAACTATAAGAGATGGCGCAGTGGGCTTCCTGGCCCAGAGAGTGAGAAATCTGAGCACCTCCAGGCAGGAGATTTGCTAGTGGAGTGGGGTTCCCCCAGGCACTTGCCAAAGCTAAGCTTGCTGACTAGAATTTGGTTTTCTGAAAAGATTAATAAAATTGACCAACCACTGGCAAATTTAATAAAGGAAAAAGAGGGAGAGAATACAAATAACATGAATAAGAAACAAAATGGGCAACATCACAACAGAACCAACTGAAATAAAAAGGATAATATCAGGATACTATGAAGAACTGTACTCCAATGAATTTTAAAAATCTAGAAGAAATGGACACATTTCTAGAAACACACCACTTACCTAAGCTAACACAGACTGATGTGGAAAAGTTGAACAGATCCATCACAAAAAAAGAAATTGAACAGGTCATAAAAAAATTACCAACAACAACAAAAAAAAGTCCTGGCCGAGATGGTTTCACCAATGAATTCTACCAAGCATTCAGAGAAGAACTGACACCAATCCTACTCAAACTGTTCCAACACATAGAAAAGGATGGAATCTTCCCTCATTCATTTTATGAAGCAAGCATAACCTTGATACCAAAACCAGGCAAAGACATCACTCAAAAGGAAAACTACAGACCAATATCCCTCATCAATATGGACATAAAAACCTTCAAAACAATCCTAGCCAATAGACTCCAACAAATAATACATCATGACCAAGTGAGGTTAATAACAGGTATGTAAGGATGATTCAACTTAGAAAAACAATCAATGTAATCCATCACATAAGGAAAATAAAGGAAAAGTACCACATGACCATATCAATCAATGAATAAAAGGCATTTGATAAAATTCAACACCCATTCCTGATTAAAAAAATATATATATCTCAAAAATAGGAATAGATCGGAAATTCTTCAACATAATAAAGGGCATACATGCAAAACCAACAGCCAATATTATTCTCAGTGGAGAGAAACTGAAATAATTCCCCTTGTCAACAGGAACCAGACAAGGATGCCACTTCTATTCAGCATTGTATTGGAAGTCCTAGCCAGGGCAGTAAGGCAAGAAAGAGAGATAAAAGGCATCCAGATTGGTAAGGAAGGAGCCAAATTATCCCTATTTGCAAATGATATGATCTTATACATAGAAAACCCATGAGACTCAGCCAGAAAACCATTGAAACTTATTGCAAGATTTACCATAGTGGCAGGATAAAAGATCAACATTCAAAAATCAGTTTGATTCTTCTACACCAGCAAAGAGGTCTCTGAAAAGAAAACAAGGAAATCAATACCATTTACAATAGCTATTATTCTGGTTACCTAGTGCCACTCTGACAAGAATATACCACAAATGGGATGCCTTAACAAACAGGAGTTTATTCTCTTACAGTTTGGAGGCTTTAAATCTAAGTTCAAAGTGCCAGGCTCTAGGGGCTGGGTGAAAGCCCCTCAGATCTGTGCTGCAAAAAGAGGTCCCCAGTTTCTTGGCCTAAAATTCTGTCCTACCTGTGCAGGCTCCTTGGAAACCTCTGCAGCCATTACTTTCCACACCCGTGCCCCTATTCCCTCTGCTCTACTTAGTGTGCCACGGCATGCTGGGAGAGGTAAAGACTTAGTCCTTGCCCTTGGGAAAACATCAGGACCATGTGCTCTGGTCTATACGAAGCAAGAAGCAGAGCTAGACCCCAAGGTTGAGGGGCTACATTCAGGGTTCAAGTGTGCCAAAAGCTAGAGACCATTCCCAAGCTGCTGCTTATATACAGGAAACAGACTGCATCTCTAAAGCAGTTACTCAGCTGTTCCAATACATTTCACCATGGAATTAATGGGGAATAACTACATCCAGCTGCCCAGCCACTCAACCAGGCCTAGCCAAGTTGACACACAAACTTAACTACCACAGCTATCAAAATGATAAGATACTTGAGAATAAATCTTACCAGTAACACAAAAGACCTAAACAAAAACAAGTGAC